TTTTTTTTTTTTTCGGGGAGTAAAGGAACTCGGACTTAGTCCATCTGTTCCTGTACATGTGGTATTACAAGATTGGATTAGACACTCGGACGGGAAGCTCAGCTTCTTGGGTTTCGTGAGACTTTTACACGGAATCTCCTCCCGTTCGTTTCAGAAGGCTCCTTAATTGTGTCATCCATATTTCATGCATTCGGGAAGATTTTTGCACTATCAAGATTCAGTGCCTGGGAAAAATAATAACTTGATAAAGAATGAACGAAAAAAACTTGTTTTGAGCGATTGTCAGCAGAATTTGGCTCGGAGGTTGTCATTCGTTTTCTATTTTTTTTTTCTATTTCTTGGTATTATTGCTGGCAATGAGATTATTAGCAGATTGTACAGGAATGTGGGTTGATCTCATAATATGAACTTTATAATTCTGTAAAAACAGCTGAAAAGTTTTTAACTTTTTAAGTTTTAAGGGTTTTTGTGTGTGTTTGTGTCTGTCTTTGGTGGATGAGTGATGTTAAAGTAAATGAGTCTGGCTCGAGCTCGAGCTAATATAAAGCTTGTTTGGTTAACGAGCTGAACTTGGCTCGACTCGAAAATAGAATTTTTATATAATTTTCTATTTTTTCTCTTCTCGTTATAGCTCGAGTTCAGCTCGTTAAGGCTTGAACTCAACTTGTTAATAGTGATAAACGAGTCGAGTTTAAGCCCAATTTCTGGTTGGTTTAGGGCTCGAGCTCGAGCATCCTAAGCTCGAACTCGTCTCGATTCATTTATACGCCCTGTGGGATCCCTCTTGCTGCTTCTTTTGGTTATTTTAATAAATTTGATGGTAGTTGTGCATAATAATGGATTAAAGTACAGTCAAGGGCCAAAAATGGGATTATTTGGTTCATTTTTTAGGTTATTGAAATAAAAATATCTTCTTTGGTAAATTATATGGTGGATGATGGGTCTCCTCCCAGATCTGGAATGAACTGATGGTAATGAGCTTCGATCTATTCGAACCGTCCTTGAAATTGCCTTTGAACCGCAGTAACCACCTAAGAACTCAACACTGGAAGTGCTTCCAGTGGAGAGCCTCCGACGCTCAAGTCAGTATATGGAAGAGAGGGTGAAGAAGCTGCTCTGAGAGAGCAGCAACAGAAAATAGGTGGAGTGAGTAATGAGAGTCAAGTTAAGGTTACCTCAGCCCGTTTATAAAGGAGCAAATACCTACTTGGAGTACTCAAAATGCCCTGGTCGACTTACACAAATTGCCCAAAATGTCCTGGTCGTTTTGCATTCCATTTATCTCTTAGTCAGCATCTAGATTCCTTCTTATCTCATGAAGATTCACCTTTGTTTAGAGACTCTCTTAGGCTTTACCGAAGTGCTATGAATCGTCGGAGCTCTTAGTGCCTCGGGGCATAATAAGTCGACTTCAAGCATCGCCAGGTCGACTTAGATCATGCATAAACGTTTGGAGACCATACTACATTATATGTTCTCGGTGATAGTAGACTCTTGGAGTCGACTTAAGAAGTTGTCTTGGAGCCGTTAGCTCGCCGAGGGAGGTAGGTGGTCCATATGAGGAGTCGTTCTTAAAAGAGTCGACTTACGGAATCGACTTGCGCCCTTCGATTCGTAGATCCACCATTCGGTCGAGTAACTAGCACTTGAGCCGGTTACATGATATTATGGCTATATCAGTGGACTAGATAGGTTGTAAATGAATTAAACTGAAGTCAATATTCAAATACTTGTAAATAATTTTTGAAAAAAATATTTGGTCATTTGTATCTGTATTCGGTTTATTAAAGAATTTAATTTGTAATTTGTATGTGGTTTGTTTAAGATATTTGAATATATTCAAGTTGTTTTGAATTTCACTAGTACAGAGCCCGTGCGATGCACGGAGTGTACAATTTTAAGGTTATTTATTCAGCCTTATAATTATATAAATGAATAAAAAAATGTACGGGATATATATAGTACGGGACCTGTGCGAGACACGTGATATATTTATTTGGGAAATATTATACTATAAGATGCAATATTCAATAAAAGTTTTATAATACGCAGAAAAATTATACAATAAAATAGTATTTATAAGAAACAATCATATATTATTAAAGACCTCCTTGTACATAGATATTAAATAAGTTATTAGTAAAATAATGTATAAATTGATTACAATAACAAAACAAAATACTCATGGGATTAGTAAAAATACTCAATGGATTGAAGATTTAATGAGATTAAACATTTAAATTAATTAATTTAGATAATTCGATATTAAATAATTCAAAAACCTTCCAACATTGTTTTAACCTTAATATATTACAACATGGGTATACTTTAAATATATTAATATTTAAAAAACTTTAAACGACATAGTTTTTTAAAAAATATTTTAGGAAACTTTAAACAACATATTTACATCACCCATTAAACAGATTATATTTCAACAACATAGTTATATTATTATTTAAGGAACTTGAAACATCATTGTTAAATATTTACGTCCACCCATAATTTTTTTGTAAGTCGAAGGTAATTAATCTCGTGCCTTTTTTTTGTTTGTTTGTTCAATTTTTTTGACAAAACTGATGTCATGGATAAAACAATTAAATATTAAATAAATTAATTAAATAATATTAAATAATATGCTATAGACAGATATATAATGCGGATAATTCTCTCATGCCAAACAACGCGATTTCAAAATTGACTTAGGTCCAACAATCATATCTAATATTTCATTAAAATAAATATTAAATAAAATATTTTAAACAAAAATTAGATAAGAAATTTTGAATCTGACTTTTTTTTGGTATAGATAGACTTTACGTACAATTTTTGACTTCACCGATTTTATGGGATTTGTTTTGACTAAATCGATGTTATTATGGAATAAGACAAATAAATAAAGCTTTTTTTATTATAGTAAAGATTTTACATACTTTTTTTTTACTTATTTGATGTTATGAGATTTTTTTATTCTTAAAGTGATTTTATGGAATATAAGACAAATAAATAAAATAATCAATTAAAATTTTGGATAAAAATAGCAATGCGTTAATTACGTTGACTTTTCAACCTACTAAATTTGGTAAATAAGATACCTTATTATATAAGTATAGATATGTTACTTTCACGTAAATACTAATATATATACATAAATTATTTCTAACAATTATTAGAAATATGATTGATTCTTAAAAAGAATATTTAATTGACAATTATTAATTAAATATTTTATATTGTATTTTAAATTTTTTTAAAAATATGTATGATAAGTATTTCTTAAATTAAGTGTATTAAGTATGGTAAGTGTATTTCTTAAATTTATTTTGATTTTGATTCCATATTTTTGATTGTATTCCTAAAAAAATTTGGAAAAAAAAGATATGCTAATAAATAGAGATTTTGTTAATTTACTATTTTTAGGCAATAATTAATGAAATTGGCGGGAAGTATTTCTAAAAATGAATTTTGTTAATCCTTATTATATATTAATAGATTTCAAAAATTATTTATGAACACATTAATATGTTTAGTTATGAATATATTTTTGTATTTGATATATCAATATGTGTGTATATTACATGAATATAATGATATATTTTGTTTAATATATTAACATTTATGTAATTATTATTAATGAAAAAAATATTGAATAATTTAAAATCAAATACGTGTGTATTTGGATTTAAAAATGTTTACTCACCTATTAATCCGTAATATAATAACGTGCACAAGTATTCAGTATCTACTACTTTGATTCATAAAAAGAGAAAAATGATTATGTTGCGTTTAGGGTTGTAAACGAGCCGAGCCGAGCCGAGCTCGAACTTAAGGTGTTTAAGCTCGAGCTCGAGCTCGAACTTAAGGTGTTTAAGCTCGAGCTCGAGCTCTTAACGAGCCGAGCCGAGCTCGGCTCGTTAAGTAAACGAGCCAAAAATCGAGCTCGAGCCTTAACGAGCCGAACTATAAAAAATTACATAAATTTCACTTTTCGAGCCTTAACGAGCCTTATCGAGCCGAGTCGAGCTCGGCTCGTTAACCAAACGAGCTTTAAATGAGCTCGAGCTCGGCTCGTTAAGGTTTCGAACTCGAGCCGAACCGAGCCTTAACGAGCCGAGCCGAGCCAGGCTCGTTTAATTTAACAGCACTAGTTGCGCATAGAACGAGTTTGAGTACTAATATCATTTATATGATAATATAATAAATTAGATATTATATAAAAAGATAGACTTAGATGTAAATTATTAGATATATAAATAGACCAAGTTGAAAGTTCTCTAATTGATTAAATAAGTCAATTATTTGATGATTGGCCCAACAAAAAAAAAAAAAAAA